AACTCTTTAGTCGTCACTTGCTCCCTGACCCATAACACGACACATTGTATACTGCATTTTGCTGAAAATGCCATTCACAAGCATTGAAGCCCCCTCCTCCGAAGATAAATTTTCTGGATTTTCTGACTGTTCTCTTGTGTAAAAACTTAAAATTGTTCGTGAATTTTCTGGTTCTCTTCGAACGGTGTCTAGTAATTTTGCTGTAGGTCGGTCATTGCCTGCGCGGTACTGCACTGCAGCGGCCTGCAGCAACTTCTCCCCCGAACTTTTTTTTTTTCAAACCCTCCAATAGTTTGGTGTGCGTTGTCCCATCTTTTAAAAACTTTGTTTGTGACAGTTGATTTTTCAACTCCTGCCTGTCCTTGTCGCTGAGTGAAGTTTCACCGATGTCCAAGTTAGCCAAAAGATTTTGGAGGGCATGATCTCGTTCGCTAGGAGCGCTAGGAGCGCTAGTGTCGCTACCCCGCTCCCCAGAAACACCCACGAAAGTCGATGTAAACCCACGGATCAATCATGAAATCATAAATTATCTCTAGCGAAACGATTTTCTTGAGTTTAGTAGCGCTCCTAGCGGCCGCCCGGCCTCGAGCTCAAGTCGCATGTCCCGCCGTGGACTCTCCCAGCAGGTTATCTCGCTGGCGCTCGGCTGTCCGCGGTCGGACACCGACGGGGAGGGTGTGTAGCGACGCATTGAACCTTGCCGCCTACTGTGGTACCACACTCATCGGTGTGCGACACCGGGGGAGTGCGTACACTGTTAAAAATTTTGTTGTAAATTTACAACACATTTGATGTTAAGTTTGATAGCAACAAATGTTGTTAAAAAACAACACATGTTGTAATCCAACAACATTCACCAAATTTCCTGAAACGAATTTTCATTCCAAAACAGTGGTCATTTACTTTCGTCTGCACCAAAAAAATTGTAATAAAACAAACTTGTTTGTTCTGTAACGATACATCTTGCTATCAAACTTCACAACGATATTGTTGTGGTTTTACAACATGGTGAAACGTGGGAATCATTGTTATGGACCACTGCGGGCGAAATAGAAGGAATTTTGCCACGTGCCAATAAAAACGAACGATGTTGTTTTTTTAACACACTAGTCATTACAAAGGGTGTGATAAATTTACATTTTTTTTAACAGTGTAAAGTGGTTCCCCGGGTAGCCAGACGGGGTCCCGCCCGTGCGAAGCGAACCTACACCAGCAGGGAGCAAACACACAACAAAAACAAAACAAATTGGCCAGTTCGGATGGCTAGTGAGCGGAGCTGACAAGGGAACCTTTTCAGGTGTAAATCTCCGATTTTGTTGAAACTTGGAAAACTTGAAGGTTATTTATGTAGAAATCGGATGGCACTTGAAATTTTTCCTAAACCTGACATTTAGTTTTCCCCTATAAAAGGTAGGAGTAAGGTGCTAGAAAAAAATATTTTTTGAAAAATGTAAAGCCGTGTTCTAAGGGGTAACTCGTCAAAGTAGTGCCCTTTGGGCCAAAATTTTGTCCGTTTTGCTCTATTTTGAACCGTTAAAGCGGTAGAGGGATATTTGGGGCAAAAAACAGTGTCAGGCTTAAGTAAACACCTAATAAATGTTAAGTTTAGGAAAAACTTCAAGTGCCATCTGACTTCTATTATAATAACCTTCAAATTTTTCAAGTACCAACGAAATCGGAGATTTACACCTGAAAAGGTTCCCTTGTGAGCTACTGCCTCTCCCCACTCGGTTTCCACTGCTGCAGCAATAATACGCCGACCGTGCCATGCGAACTGGACACTTGCCTCTTGACTCTCGCG